GTAGCCCTCCTCGGGACTGGGTTTTTTTCATTCGGCCCAGTTCCGGAAAAATTACTCCTTGCCGGAGTTGGCTAGTTCTCTAAACTTTTATGAATAATCGTTATTATTCTATGCTGTCACTAGTCAACTCCGGGAGGGAAGTTAATTCCCTCCTCCAGAACAACCTGTTAATCTTTGATTAACTTTAATCTTTATAAGCACAACTTAATTCAACCCCTAAAATAAGTAATGCAGGCTCAGCCGAGGGGCTGATTACCGGAGGAAAGACGGGCAATGAACGGGTCAGACCAATCATTGCTGGTTGGGGGCTTATACCCTGGCTTACGACCATACCCCACGGGGCAGCAACCCGGAATAACGAAAAATACCTCGCCCTTTTAGCCGGCAATTAAGTTTCACCCCTAAGGAAAAAAACAACCCTTTTTCTTTGAGGCTAATTTTTAAATCAAGCAGGAGGAGAACAGTCTTGATTTTGAGCCTTTAATTTACTATATAGGCAAAATTCAACCAGCAACTTATTTACGCAGTAAATAAAATTCTCCGAACCAGCCCTTTACCCCTTTTTTTCTTTTATTTAATTTTCTTTTTTTTAACATTGGGAACGTTAGGACAGCGTTATTTCTGAACCTGTTATGTAATATACGGGGAAAGAAATAAAAATAAGAAAGGAGAAGAAAAAGCACCCGAATCCCACCGGCTAAATTCACCCCCTAACCAAATTACTATATAGGCAAATTTCCCCTTCAACAAAAGAGAAAACAACTCGTATAAATACCTTATATGAACTTTTGAAGCCAACTACCAGGGAAGCCCAAAACCGAGATCGAAACCTTGCTGACCAAGCAACTGGGAAAACCCAACAATGAACTCAATGCTAACCTCTGCCAAGAAATCGTGAAAAAAATCACCTCCTATTATGCTAACTTGCCCGAGCAAAACTACACCACCTATTCCTTGGTGGGCTACCTTACCGAAATAATCGAAAGAAAGTTCAAAGAAGGCCCCAAGAAAGGGCAAACCTACTATGTTTTAAAATTAGGAGGGGCGGGAAAAGAAACCCTGCAAGCCCGTAAAGAAGACTTACCGAAAGAGAAATGAGAGCAAATTAAGAATTTAGCCCTCTTAGGGAAGAATTTAGTTTTTAAGTATAAAAAATACTTCTCCAACCGGCAAATTATTGATTGCTATCCGGCTCCTCGCCCTAAACCCCATGCTAAACCTAAATAAAATTTTAAAACTTTGTTTTAAACTGAAAAAAACCCCGAGTAAGGCACCACGGGAGAAAACTTTGGCTGGATGGTTGACTGTAGGAGTAGCAGAGCTTTTTAAGCTCGCTATACTCGGTCAAAACCCGCCAATTGTTTCTTCCCCGTGGGCCTTGTGGGGCCTTGGCTCACACGCCGGAAAAATTTTTTAGCCAATTATGAATCGAATATTAAGTATTGATCCCTCCGGCACGGGAACGACTGGGCTATGTTTTATTAACGGCCTCCACCGCCAATTCTCCTCCTTCCAAAATAAGGACTGAAAGGAACACCTATCCTTCCTAATGAAGCAAGTGCAAGAACTAAAACCCGACCTCCTCCTTTACGAGCATACTAACTTTATTAATCTCCGCGGTAAGGACATGACGGCCTTACTGAAACTATTCGGGGGAATTGAGAGTTTGATTTATTTAGGAGCCCCGCAAGTTAAATCCGTGCCTGTTAATCAGGTTAAAGCCCTCAAAGACCAACTCTTAAAAGGAACCCGGCAAATCCCCGGCCTAGAATTTAAGCCGGGTCGGGGGAAAGGTTGAACCTATCACGGCATCCGCATTAACCCCCACGAACTGGATGCTTGGCTGGTTTACTATTTAGGAAAGGAGAAAGATGAATAAGGAATTATTAACTAGAATTGAGAGATTAGAACAAGCTGTCCAGGATATTTGAGCTTCCTGTGCTTGTTTGAATAAGGAACCAGGAGAAGACACCTTTAATTGTGAGCCACCAACCTGTGAAGATTGTGGACGAGAGGATTGTTCGTGCTTTCTTGTTGAAGAACCCGAGGAAGCCGAAGAAGAACCTATGGAGGAGGGAGAACATGACTAAACTAATCAATTGAAAAGCCATTAATCAACAACCCGGAATATTTCACGTCTACTTAACCGCTCGTAAACGAGGTAAAACCGACCATAAAGCCTGGTCCTTCCTGGAAAGCATTATTACTAACTCTCATACTCGTTTTGTCTGACTCCGTCGCCACTGACACGATAGCCTCGAATGCACCAAACCCTATTTCCAAGACCTAGTCTACAAATTTGCCGAGGAAAAGGGTCTAAACCCTAACCATTTCGAAATCCAAGAACAAGGCCTCTTTTACCAAGATAAAAAAAGGATCTACTTCTTCGATCTCTTCTCTTTTAGAAAAGCCCGAGGTAAGATTGCCCGAGGCACCACCTTTGCCGAAATAGTTTTTGAAGAAGCCATTCCTCTCGACCAGGAAATCCTCCCGCGAGAACAATGAAAACTCAAAGACTTTATCGAGAGTATAAAACGCCAAAGCACTCAGCCCTTAAAAGTAACCTTCTTAGCCAACCCCTATCTTTTTAGCATGTATTTTTTAGACCATATTCCTAGCCTCCAATCCCTTCGTAAAGAGGCTGAAGAGCTATCCCAGCAAGGCAAAAATGACGGAGTGAAAGCCTGAAGCCCTGATAAGCAATGATTTTTATATTTAAATCTTTTGCCCGGAACCTCCGACCCCCACTCCGAAGCCTTAGAAGAACAACTCAACCCCAGCACCGTTAATTGGGATGACTACATGATTGATGAAGCCCGAGCCAAAAAGTATCAAATTATTTATGCTATCCAAGACTTCTTTTTTTGTGAACTGGGCGAACGAAAAGTCCACAAGAAATACTGCCTCATGCATTTTACCAAGAACCAGAAGGAGACGACCAAGGATTTAGTTAATTTTTGCTTTACCTTGGAAGAAAAAGCAAGAAGTAAATTAAAGAATTGCCGAAGGAGAGAAAAAGAAAAAGTAATTAATAAATGAATAAACCTGCTGAAAGAGGGAATGCTCTACTTTCGGGATTATCGTTCCCGAGACTGATTTTTAGAGTTGATTAAGGGAGGTAACAAAAATTAAGCATGAACCTGGAAATTATTGAACTAGAAGTGGAAAGAATAGCCCAATTATTTGCCCAAGCCCGAAATCTAAAAATCAAAGTGTTTTTTGGCAAGATGGGAGATAAGAACTTCCCTCGAAAAACCAGAGACCCTCGCCGAGGATATACTACTCATAATAAAACCCTAGAAAGATATGAAATTCATATTAGATTAGACCGCAATAGTCGAGCCTCAATTTTTCTAACCCTTAGCCATGAGTTAGCTCATGCTTGAAAGATGGAACTAGAAAAGGAAAAACACCTGAAAGCTCACGACCCTCTATTTTGAAAACTCCTGGACGAGAAAACTTTCCCTTTCGTGGAAGCCAACTTATCCGAAGTAGACCGAACCAATTTACTAAAACTGCTTAACCCATCTACTAATTCGGATGAAAACTGAGAGGAAGTTTATTTAGATAATAAAGAAAAGAAAATAATTTTTTCCCTTGACAAAGAAAACATTGACCAAGCGTGAAAGTTAGTTCGCGAAGAAACTATCCAAGGTCATCTTAGTGCTCGAGCCATGGTCTCCACGGCCAAGAAAAATAAGGATAAATACCAGATTATCATTTATGCCCGTGAGGGAGAAAACATTCCTTTTTTAGTCGCCAAATTACAAGACCTCGGATTGAAGTGTGATTTTAGATGGATTTAAAGGAGTAGCTGCTCCCAGGAAGCAAAAAGCAAGGGGTTAAGCAATAAAATTAAGCCTAAAAAAGAAGGCTATGAGGATTTATTCAGAGAGGGGTAAAGTAGTGGCTAAAATTAAGGAGATTTTAAGCAAAAGGTTATTTTTTAGAGGAACCCGGGAGACCATAATTCTCGGTTTGGAGGATTTGGGCTGTTTGTTGGGGTTGTTGACTTAAGTAAAGTTGATATGCTTTTCTTAGTGGTTCTAAACCAACATTAGAATTATTTAAGACAGTTTTTATGTCGTAGCCTAACTTATCTCGCACAAAGACTACTAAACCAGTTTCAATAGGTTGAAAACCAGCCTTAATTCACTTTTGAGTTTGTTGATAAGTAAAACCTTGATTCTGCCAAGCTTGAATCAATTCAGGAGTAAAAGAGGAATAAATATTGCTTCAGTCTGCGCTTTGATTGTTGTTTATTGGCATTGGTTCTGAGCAGCATTCCAGTATTTCAGTTAGTTTAGGCTGTTTAGTTTCTCCTTGATTGGTTTTGGTTTGTGATTCAAGAGATAATTGTCTTTTAAAGTTTGTTGTTAGCTCAGTATATTCATTAGTTGAAGTTTGGTCGTTACCATCAAATTCTAAAAGGTTGAGATCTAATTCCACATTTTTAGAGCCACCATATTCATTATTAACTTTTTGGGAATATCGGGTTCGAAGAAGACTCCTTAATCTTTCCGTATCCAATAAACTACTAGTGTAAATTGCAGAAGGATGAATTTGATAAACAGGATAACTGGTGCTTTGATTAAATCCTCCTGCTTCTTTTATTTCTTTATATTGTTGATAAAATTCTTCTGTATTTATTTCACCAAAAATATCTTTATATCAACCATTTAAAGTTTTTAATAGTTCGCTAGAAGTTGGTCGTTTTTCTGGATCTGTTTCTCAACATCGTTTAATCAAATCTTTGAGAAGTTGAGGCACTTGCATGTTATCTAAATTTGGTCGTAATCCATCATGTATCCTTAAGATCAATTCTGAGTCATGAGCTACATCGTAATGAGGAGGTAATCCTGTCATCATTTCGTAAGCAATCATACTAAAAGAGTAAATATCAGATGCTTGAGTATAAGGCTTGCCTCCCAAAACCTCAGGAGCCACATAAGGTAAAACTCCATAAATTTTTCCTTCATCTTTTTCATTAGCAGGGCGACATAACCCTAAATCAGAGATGTAATTACAAATGCCATAATTTAGCACATTACCAGAATGAAAATCCTGATGCACTAATCCTAGGCAGTGAATAGAATTTAGCCCTCTCGAAATATCCAATAACTGGAAGATTTTATTTTTAAAATCTAGTCTATTATAACAATTTTTCAAGTATTGTCGTAAATTACCATTGGGAATATAATCCATGACCATAAAATAATTGCCTGTTGCTGGGTCTTGAGAAATGCCATGACATTGAACAATCTGTTGGTAATTTTCTAGACCCTCACTAGCCTTACTCTTCTGTTCGACAATATTGCTAAGCAACTTATAACTAGCAATTTCCTGCAAAAAATCAGCAATCATTTCTTGAGAATTATTTAAACTTTTTAAAACAACCTCCTTAACTCCTGATACATAGAAATGTTTTGATATATATAAATTTTTAAATTCTTTTTCGTTCAACAGGGATGCTGTATACACTTTACCAAATCCCCCTTCAGCTAAATACTTAATGTTTGTAAATTTATCGTAAGGTATTAATTTTAATTCCTTATGTTCTTGGATAAATTCATTGATGGTTTGATTAATATTTGGATTACAAAATTGGCATCATCCGTATTTAGAATTAAGCTGCTTGCATTCTTTACACATCCCATAAAGCATGTATCTTCCTTTTAAGTTTTGATTATCAACTTCGTGTTTTAAAATTCATTCAATATCTACTTTTTTAATACTTTTTAATCATTCTAAATAATCAATATCTTCTGGTTCAAAGCTTGCCTCAATTAATTGTTTAGCTTCTTGGTAAGTGATACCTATTCTCTCTCAAAGTCTTTGATAAGTTTTTCCATTTCGTTTTCTGGTAAAATTTTTATGCACGTCTCTTCAATCAACCATTATTCTTTACCTCCTTTCTTTTTAATGATAAAATAAACAATCAATCCTAATAACCCAACTCCTCCTAAAATCCAAGGTAAGTAATTAGTGGAACTGCTCTCTCTCTCTCTCTCTCTCTCTCTCTCTCTCTCTCTCTCTCTCTCTCTCTCTATTACCTAATTGTCTAGTTCGGCTTTGAGATTGTTTGTTTTGACTAACTTTTTCTCAGCAAGTTTTATGGAAATAAGATTGATTATGTTCTTCTACTCCTTCAGGAATAAATTTATCACCTCAATTGTTATTTTTTATTTCTATATTTCTCTTACAGCTAGAACAAGTAGTAGAAAAATGAATGCTTCCCCAAGCATTCTCGGCTATTGGATTATAACTATGCAAAGTGACAGGAGGACATTTTTCCTGCGTCTTAAGAGTATTCTCTACTTCTTTTAAATAGGCTTCTAATTCAGCTTTTTTCTTTATTTCCCAGTCTTCACACTTGGCTAATTCTTTTTTAGTTTCTTTTAAAGCCTCAGGAGCATCGCAAGCTTTGCAACCTCTTGGGGATATGTCTCATTTTTTACTCATGTTTAATCATTCCTTTCAAGCTTTCTAATCTATTAGTTAGTTGTTTAGTATTTATTGCTGGTTGTTGAAGATGTTTAATCAATTCATCTAATTCTGCAATGATTTTTTGCTTATTCATAATAGTTATAATTTTACTATATAGGCAAAATTAATCATAGTTTTTTATAACTCAATCTCCTCTTCATTTTCATTCTCTCTTTCTTGGTTTTCCTGTTCCTGCTTTTCACGCTCTAATCTTTCCTGTTCTTGTCGTTCTCGTTCGGCTTCTCTTTCTTTTTCTCGTTCTTGCTCTCGCTCTTGTTCAGTTTCCCGTTCAGTTTCTCTTTCTGGCTCAGTTTCCTGCTCTTTCTCTTTTTCTTTCTCAATCAGGTCCTCTTGCTCGTTTTCATGCTCTTTTTCTTGGCTTCTTTCTCCAATGCCTTGTTCGGGTTTTTCTTGTTCAATCTCGTTAAGATCTAACTCTTGCTCTTCAATTATTTCATTCTCGTTCTCTTGAGTTTCTAATTCAGCTTGATCAATTTCTTGGCTAGTGGTTTTTTTAGTTTCTCCAATTCTAGTCTCTGTTCTTTTATCCATTCCTCCCGTAATTCAGATTTGAATATTTTCCAAAGAAGGAAACTTAATATGTATCTGATAATCACCACCTCTTAAAGTTTCCGTAGTTTCAGGGGAATTATTATTTAATTTCATTCTAATTATAGTTCCTGCCCCCGTATTCATGTTAGCTACTCATTCTGAGCCAATACCAGCTCAACCAGAATTTCAATGTCATTCACTATTTCCTCCATCTGCCCCACCAGTTAAAAACCTCCCTCAACTGATTTTGGTTCCCTCAACAGTGTTTCATAACTGCTGGACAGCAGGACCTTGTAAGTTTTGCCGAAACTGATTAAAGGCTTCTTGACTTTCAAACTCTAAAAAGGTATCAAATGCTCCTCCTTTGGTTACTTGATTATTAGGATCGGAGTCTCCTTGGGCAACTTGTTTATCTTCTCCAGGGGTTTCAATTTCTATTTTTTCTTCTTCGGCAAAATAAATGTCTCAAGCACTACCAGCCACTGGATTATAACTATTAATTATTTGGTAGTCAAAATTAGGTTTCCTTAATTTCTCTCCATCAGTTAAGATATAACCTTGCTCCATTCTTTCTCTGAAAAAGCCATTAATGTCGCTTTCTAATTTAACATCCCTTCACTTTCATTCTCCTAACTTTTGAGAAAATTCTCCGTAAGCTGGTCATTGAATAGGTAAATTAAGCACCTTACACTTATTATTAGCTCAATTTAGTCGATTGGATAACAATTCACTTACTTCTATTCGACAAAAAAATAAAGGATTAGTTAATCTATTAAAGAATTCTCCTAAGCTGTAATTGTAGTTAACTGTATTATTATAAAAGATGAGAGGCTCCTTTCCTTTGTCTTTCTCTTTTTCTTTATCAGACTTCTTTTGTGATTGAGTTTCTTTTCCTTTGGCAGCATTTTCTTTGGCATTGGTTTCCAAAGGATTAAGATTTTGATGATTTCAACTTAATCCTCCTCCAAAAGTGGCTGCTTCTACTTGAACTTGGGTCATATAATTCAGGATTGAGTTATTTCGAAAATTTCCTTGGGTTTTAACTTCTAACTTAACATTTATGTATTTAAACTCAAAACGATACAATAGAGAA